ATATTTTTCTACCATTATGAAAGCCTTGTTTTTGAGTTTGTTGTACAAGTAGAATGTCAGATTTAGAAATAACCATATAGCTTTTAGGAATTATACACTGACATTGTCATTTATGGGTAGATAGATCATTTTATACACTGACATTGTTATCCATGAATTGGCATATCATTTTATACACTATTGTCATTTATAGATAGATAGATTATAAAATTTAGTGTGTGTACTAGGTATATTAACATATATGGATAAAGATGAATTAGAGATCAAAGCCATTATGAAGCAATGACAATAGCAGTCTCGTATTGAGTAGTTGATAATGTTTTTTTGTTGTTGAGAATTGCAGATGGATATCTCTTTATATTCTCTTTGGTCTTTTTAATATGTATTCAGCTGGAGTTGTTTCTAGTAACTTTTTAAAATATATTTCTCTTGCCAGCGGTGTAGAGTATACATTTCTGAAAAGTTTGGCGGTCTCTTCTCATAGGTTCAACGTCCAAGACCGTTCCTCAGCACACCATATCAGACGACGAAACAGACATTGAGGATATCGAAGCTGAATCTAATGCTGCAGAGAAGCTACAAAGTTCTCCAAGTAAAGGTATCAAGTGATAGACTATTTGATTGCATTGACAAAGATTATTTTCATATTGCTGTTATAGTTTCAGTTTTTGTCTATGGGCATGATAAAGACTTCATCATTCAGTGTAATGTAATTCTTTCTACAAACAATCATAACACATTCACTTTTTTTTTATTATTATTACCTAGGAGTGTTCATATTTTATCTCTTTTGTCAGTTGCTCTTTTCGTGTCATACAGGATTTTCCACTTACTTTTTTTGTCCTAGGTTTATTTCACAAAACTAAACTCTTTAATTTTCCCTTCCTTATCATTGGCTGCACCAGTTTTAAATGTCTGTTCTGTGCAGTTTCAAGTAATTGTTATCATTTAATTTTATTGAGTATGTGAATACCTGGAACAAGTCAAACGATTGATTATTAAGATTTCATATTACAGAGTCTTCACCAAAGAAAGCACCAGTAGCTGAGCACACCTTATCAGATGATGAAACAGACATAGAAGACTTGGAATTACCGACTGAAGTGCCAAATAAGGCAGATTCAGATTCAACTGTTACAGAGAAGCAAACAAGTGGTAAAAATATCTCTTTACAAGAGGACTAGAATGTGTGTGATATATTAGAGGATAGATGTCTGTAGATAGAAGTGGGTAAATAGATTTAAAGAGACAGACAGACAGACAGACATAAATCTTACAAGTCATGCTAACATTCACACACATACAGAGAGAGAGGGAGACAGAGAGTTTAGATTCAATTCAAATTTAGAGTACTGTTTGGTGTTAGTTACAAAAGAAAGAAATTTATAGATTATTTATAGATTATTTTTTACTATTACTGTGATATCTATTTTTGAGATTAATGAACATTGTTGAGCAAAACTGATGTAGGAATACAATGCTGAGCGTGGAAATGGCGTCCTCCCTGGAGCCAGCACTCTTCCAGTCATGGCTTGTGGACACTGCATTCCACAACCACTAACATCCTATGTATTTTGTTTATGTAATCTACCTCTCCTATTCTATATGTATGTAAAATTTTGGTTTTAAGATTTCCTACGCCCCCCCAGATTCATTAACAAAGAATAGGTCGGAGCACAGCATTTCCGATGATGATACCGATACGGAGGAATTAGCCGTCCAAGCTGAAGTGTCCGAACCCCCTAAGGCAGAGAAAGGGAATGAGAAGGAACTGTCAACGTCAGGCAGCCAGTCGACTCCCCTGAGGAAAGGTAAAACATTTTTCTAGCTGATATGAACATGTAAGTGTAAAGGTTTTCAGTGGTAAGTATAAAAAGAATTCCTGCAGTATTTAGGGGTTATATATTTGCAGTGCATTAAATGTCATACAACATTCATAAGTAAGATATAAAAATTGGAATATAAAGAAAAAGATTTTTATATGAAATAGTTAGAAATGTAGACTTTTTCCTTATGCTACTGCAGCTGGATCCATGGAACAGGCAAATTCTTCAAAGAAAAGACCTTTATGCAAATTTGGTGCTGATTGTTATCGCAAGAATCCGTGGCACCTGGAGGAGTTTTACCACCCACACTTAGAGGATAAGGATGGCGCTGGAGCGAAGAGGAAGTCAGGTATGGGAAATTGTAACAAAGTGTCGGCAAAAGGAATCTTTTTTAAGGTGAAAGGAGAGTGGAAGACAGACCTCAAAAATATTGCTGTTGATGAAGGAGAATATTTCTGTGGGTATATCTGCTACAATAAAGTAATTGATATTTGTATACCTCATTGATTTATACTTTCAGTTGGTTAAATTTTTTTACATTGCTGATATATTCCTTTGCCCCGTTTGACAGAATCATCAAACAGCATCTCAGAGCCGGCAGAAAAACGTAGAAGGGAATCAGATTCAGGGAGCTCAGCGAGGAAGGGTTCATTTTCCAACAAAAAGTAGGTGAT